CTGTCCACCGCCAAAAGCCGGCATTGTGGAGATACGGGCTGTAATCGCGTCCGCTCTTTCGTATCTCCATGCATCCCCCTCAACGTCATCGTCGCGCGTTTCTCTTGGATCGCCGTAGAACCTGGCCTGTGGGCTTCTCGGCCGTGACTAATTGATCCTTGCTATGGCGCAGCGCTTGGCCGCTTGGCTATTAACTATCATATTCTAGCATAGGTACGGTACCTAATGTATCCTATCTGGCTATATGGTGTCAACGGTCATGAAAGCCGTGTTTCGCATAAAGGGTTCGCGCCAAGGCTTGGTAAACCGGCGTATCTTGTTCTACGCAAGTCTACAATATAAACCTTACTCGATTGATGGGATGGAGTTTACTACATAGTACTCTCTTATCCCGGTTTACAGTACCGTAGCGCAGTCATATGCCCACTAGTCGTCGTAAAGAAATACTCAATAACCGCACCTTCTAGAGCTAAAGGGCTTGGTCGTCAATTCGTGTAAGGCGCCTGCAAGCGATAGATGTAGGCGTCAGCTGGCAATTCTACATGGTCTATCGGACGGTTCTAGACCTCGGCCTATCTACCAGAACTACGGTATCAGGCATATATGGTTACTTTCGCCTGTACTTGGCTATGCTTTTTCATCGGCCAGCCGGCCCTAGTTAGCTCTATTTGTTTATACTAATTATGTGTGTGCATTTATAGTCGGCGACCGTAACGTATCGAGTCTATCTCATCCCACCATCGGGATCTGTTATCGTCGGCGTCTTGATTATTATGGCGTTTGCAAGCCTCATTTGAAGCTGAGACGGCAGGATAGACATGTTCAAAATACGACTTCCCGGCAAGCACAAGCCGATCAACATACCCGGGGGGGAGGTGTCGGAACTCCGCCGGTAATGTAAACGGATAAAACAGCTAGTTAAACGAAAGTGAGCTATGTTAGTCGTCGTATTTTTAAAGAGGCAGAGAGGGAATGCCATCCTTGACTCTTTACGGTAGCATTGCGATAGTTTTAACGACAATGACAACAACCATATCAACGCGCCAACGACGCATGGTATGATCGCGAGAACTACCAATTGGGTCGACGGGACTAGTAGTCGGTTTCGGCCCTCGTAAAATTCTCCGCAAACGTTCGGAGGTTGGGGGCTGATACCAGCAAAGAAGCCCGGACAGCTTCTCTAACAGGGTCATCCTTTGACGATCACCATCTAGAAAGCGGAACGCAGGGCTTCCCAGTTATCTCCTGAACGGTAATACATCACTTCCGTGACTATGATTGGCTTACAAATCGGGCCCTGTCGTATCTTGTGCCCAATAGAGGAAGGGTATCCCGCAGACATTCTCCCCAGCTACCGGCCATGCATATTGAATTGTCCATTTGCAGGTTTAAGCTAATCTACTATGTACATGGCCCTTCTGTCCGTGCAAGCCTCTGGGCATCTTTCTAATCGTTGTCAGAACTCTTTGCAGCAAAGGCGTTAATTACTAACAGGTGTATTGTTTACTAACCACGAAGCCACAAGCTACAGCATCCATGTACCTAGTTAGGTTGCCAGGTTGGTTACTTCAGGTCGAGGATTATTACCATGCTAGGACCATCAACCAATCTTCAAGTCTAACCGATCGGATCAACAACGTGGCATAGGAGCATACGAAACTAGCCTGGCCCAGGTCCATCAGGCGCTACCAGGATACTGAACTTTCCGCACCCAAACCCCCTGGCCATCGTGGAAAAAATCGCAAATTGCGCGTGCGGCACAGCACTGAAACGGACGGGCCAAATTTAGCGTCGCAGCATCGAGTCTATTCGAGGCCACGATCTTCATCTCCATCTTCTTGAAGGCTGCATGCTGTGTAACAAGGCCGTATTTCCTAAAACAAAAGGAGCTGAGGCCTTTTGCTGCAGCCACGGTAGACTATAGTTCCTAGATCCTAGTTCGAGCGACAGAGGACGCTTCGATGCTGCATTACCCCGGACTCGCCCTATTGAACACGCGGTAGAAGGACTGGAACGAGAAAGCTACGACGACGGAAATGTTCCGTAGGATTAGCAGAAGACATGCTACTATGTAATTGTCTTATACCAGATAGACATCAGTTCAGCAAACATAAATGCTCGCCCCATGGTTCGTTCTAATTACCATGTAAACTACGGGTTTCAAGAAGGGATAGTTAAACGAAAACGAGCCGATCTCTCGCGGCTGGGATCTGAGACTTTAGCTTCTCATGGGATCACTCTCAAGAGTTCGGTAGCGATTCTCGTAGAAAAGGCGTCTCGGCCCTAGAAAGGATACGCTCCGTGGGGTCAACCTGTGCCACTGGTCACGCGCTCGTACACTCAGGCTTTCGGTGGAATCACGGTGCGCCTCCCAATAAATTTCTACCTATCCAACACTTTGACGCTGACAAGATAGCACTGTGAAATCCATCTGATACCGCAAGGCTCGACCAGCCCCCAAAATTCGGAAAAGAAGACGAGGAATATTCCGTACATCTTCTATGACGTTACGCAGCATGTGTCGTTGTCTTATCCCCCCTGAGACAAGATCACGCTCTGTCCGAACCGACGCGGCTACGTCAAGCTGGCGTGTCTTATGTTTCAGGTCCATCCTATTAACCTATCCAATGCTCATACAGACAAATTCCGGTCCAGGTGGCACTAGTTCCGCTACGCATGGGGATATACATACCTAGGGATATTCGTATAACAATAGAACACCGAGTGGGATTTTTATTAGGAATACTCGAGCCTGGGCTTGCTTTCTGGAAACATGGGATAGATGGAAATCCCGGCACGCGTAGTAAGTAGGTAGCTAGATAGGCATACTAGGTCCGCAGCTTGAAGGATAGGTTAGGTACCTAGGTAGGTAACTATAGTATCTTCGAAACCACCAGACGACAAGATGTCTTTCTGCGCCCTTCGCATTGTAAAGGCTTCGATCCTCTCGGATTCCTCGGGTTCCTCAAGTTGATCGTATTCCTATTCTTTCTTTCATAGGCAAACTACCTAACTACATCCTAAGGTACCTAATTAGATGTACCTAAATAGATAAATAAAAGTTATGTAACAATGAATAGCAAGCTTGGATGGTAATCTATCTGTTTGCTAAGTAGACGAATATAGACGATAGGTGCATTATGTGTTTCAGCCTTCTCTTCTGGTTCGGGTTCCAGAACCGCGAGGCTTGATGTTAGTGGTTATTCGTCCTGCTTTCGGTATCACTTCTCTATCTTGGCTGCATATTTTTAAATACTTTGGGTGTTTTATATGTTGCTAATGAATTAGGTAGCCATGTGCTCCCACCTCTTACGCTTTAATCGTTCAGGTGGCGTTCAGATGGATTGGCAAATCACTTGTACGGAATATAAGACATCTCGACTCGTTCATGCGCACGCATGAGCGCACGTCCACACACGCCCACACGCACTTGCGTACCTAATGTTTCGGTCTGCATTTACTAGTAATTGGGGATACACAAACGACGCATGGGAGTCGATTCGATCCTCGGCATTACGAGGTCGGCGAATAGGATAGGTCATGCTTTCGCTAGTCCCTGGATTTCGGACGCCCGTGCCTCTCTACCTGTTTAACGCTACCTACCTACATCCAACAATAGAACAATATACCACAAAGTTACTTCGCTTCCAAAACATTACGGGTAGCCTTTCGGAAGACTCGGTGCCGACAAGGCCCATCGTGTAAAATGAATGGCCGCGCGGTAAAAAGCTATGATGTGGTTTTCCCCCCTCCCCTCTATCCTCTATCATGAATGAATTGAATAAAAAATTGCCCTCGCCTCGGGGATAAACCCTTCCCAAAATCCCACAGGATTCGCCCCGTCGCGTTCGCTGGGGCGGTTACTTGAGCGGGAACCGCAGTTGGTAAAAGACGGCCGGGGTAAAAAGTGTGATTTCAACTGATCTCCACTAAGGACATGGGAGGATGAATTACTAGCTGGACTTCACTCGCGCCTAGATAATAGGAAACAGGATATAAAAAAATAACAATATAAAAAATTTAAGGGGTAATGTTAGATATACACCATAGTTTACGTGTGTGTTGTGCGGATGTGGATAATGCCGTACAAAGTAATAAAAGATGAAATACGAATAGGTTAATCCACCTAGGGATTAATTACGGTGAAATGACAACTACCTACAAAGAGAAGAGAAAAGGAAAAAAAAATTGAATGATATCATCGTATCGCCATCATATCATTTAGTTAAGGGTACGGTTAGGTTAGGTTGTAGTTACTATATTTACAAGATATCTGCAGTCCAGACCGGCCTAAGTCTAAGGTCCCAGTTCCCCCGAGCGCTGCGGACGGGACGGGACCACAATGCGCACCGCACATTAAGGAGAAACACATACTACCTACGTACATAGATGGCAAGTATATCACAATACGCTATGCTAGGACCGCGTTCTCTTAGGACTCCCGTACGTACCCCCAAGCAACGGGCAGTCCCGCGCCCTACTATAGTAGTCAATCCCGTCTCGCGACGATGGACCAACCGCTGAAGAAAAAAAGCCGGTAGGTAAAGTGATAAGCCACCTAGGAAAGAAGAAGCGGTAAGAATGTTTTATTTTAGAAAGAAAAAAAGAAAGAAAAGAAAAGGGGGAGAAAGAAGAAGCAAGTCACCGCTACGATGTCCCATTCTCCCGGGTCGTTCAGACTCGTCTATGTCAGCCCAGCAGACACGTAAGAACTCTATCCCAGCTAGTTAAGACATAAGGTTATCATCATACGTACATACATTAGGTTAGGTACCTAAGAGTATAAGCCATGAAAACGCCTTGGATCCGGTAGAAAGGATAGGGCTGGCTGGCGATGCTGACAGCGCCGTCGATCTGACAAAAACCTGGGCCGGAGACGGTGAGACGGGGACACCGCTCTTCTAGGGCTGAGTACCGTTTAGCTACCTACCTATGAAAAACATCGTCTATTACGCATGAAAGTGTTCATCCATCAAGATACGGTTATATCATATCACTTGATTCGCTATCAAGATGCAAACGATAACCTGCTGAGCTTGCTTAGGAGGTATATATATATATAAGGTACCTGATACCTAGGTATGTATAATATATTAAATACGTGCATATACAAGATATCATGTCATCAACATCATCCCAATCTCGATATGGCTACCTTAGATCGTCTTAAATCCCTTTCATGACTAAATCATCGCATTGTATCCCGTATGGGAGTAAATAGTCCCATTAAAACCCCTATTCCCGACCCAGCTTCTCCAGACGCCTATAACCATCGAACAAGGCAATCACTGCGCAATTCCCGAGTCAACGGCTTGGACGACGAGCACGCCGGCTTTAATGTCGCTCATCGCCATGGCCTGACCAAAAACACCTATTGTCTTCTGCATATCATACACCGTGCTGCTCTGGTCTAATGTCCGAACAGTAGCTGGAAGTATGGGGTGCCTTCGTCCAACGACAACGATGTCACCTGCATTGTGCAAGTTCTTCCCGACGGTTTCTCTCGCTAACTCGGTCGCCTGTTTGACTGCCGAACCAGCGGTGACCGAGACCTCAGTAAACGTAACACGACTAGCCAATTCGGGCGAGATATTCGATTGTAATGCAGCCAAAAGGGAAGTGTCCTGCGCCGTCATTTCGGTGTCGATGGTGTTCTTAGATATAGATGTCGGTGAATCTGGCTCCAAGTGTCCCTCCTTGACAGGCGCAATTTCATCCTCGCCCTCCACGAAGTCTAGATGAGCGACTGTGACCGAGATGAGCGGATTCTTCGCGAGGTGGAGGACAAAGTGCAGCGCATAACGATCATCGGCGCCACCAAGGTAGGGGAAAAAGACATGAAGGGACTTATCTGCGATGGGAGGAAGGGCGGATTCCTTATTGCTACGAATCGAGACACCGCTAATAGTTCGAGGCGGAGCCGGCCTATCGAGAGACGCAAACTCGCTAGATTCATTGCCAATAAAAACTCCCGTGCTACAAACTGCATTTGCCAACGTCGCCTGCACGAAGTCTTGGTGGGCCTTCTCAGAAAACCGGTCTTCTGGTGAAATTCTGAATGGAATCGACTGGTCTTCCTTATTACTTCCTGTTTCGCCCCAAGGGATCAGGACAAAATCGGACTCTCGATCCGAAGCCTGCGTAACGATTGTCTGTGCATATGAATCTTCGGGGGTGATTACCACGCTACCTGATACTGCCACGTCGTGTAGTCTAGCGAATGTTCGGAAGGCGTTTACCACTGGATCGCGTCGAGAATACTCGTCGCTTTTAGCAACCTTCATGACGGACGATGTACGCTCGGTAAGCTCAAGTATGCGTAGAGCGTGAACTTCGAGGGGACGTCTCCGAGTAATCGGAGTCGGGGCGTCTATGGTGTCGTCGCCAGCTTCAGATTTTGACGCTTCCTCAGAACTTGGAGTGACTTTCTCGTCACCGAGAAGAGAAATAAATGTGAAAAGGCTAGGAAGACTGTCTAAACGAAGGTTAACTAGAAGACGACGGATCCTAAATTCTTGCAGTTGCGAAACATAATTGTCTTGACTCGAGTTCCTGTGCTCGAGAGGATTACCGTCCCAATCGATCTCGCCCCTCTTCCACTGCTCGAGTTTCCTCTGGTACCATGGCGGATATAGCCATCTTGTAAGGGGGCTTGTAGAAACGGTAGTAACCAGAGCCATCACGACAAATATAGTAAATGTCTTCTGCGACAAGATCTTTGCTTGAAGACCAATATTCTATATCCGTATTAGTATTCACGCCGTATAACTATAACGAGGGGCGTAGCTTACTAGCACAATCAGTTCTACCAATCCCTTGCAGCTCATCAAAACGCCGATCGAGAAACTTTCTCTCCAGACGAGCTTCATCGCCTTAGCTGCGAGTGTACCGCCCATGATTTTACCGCAGAAAGCAACAACAATAACACCGAAGACGTAACCCCAAGTAATACCGTCATTCAAGAGGCCTAAATCCGTACTCAATCCAGACAAGGCGAAGTAAAGGGGTAAGAAGAGAACGGTGACGAGATCTTCGATCTTTTCAGTCACGTGAATAGTGAAGCCACCTTCATGGGGACAGATCAACCCAATCAAGAAAGCGCCGAAGATGGCATGTATACCAATAATACCTGCAGGATTTAAGCATGGTTAATCCGGAATAGGGGTTTGTGAAAAGTTACTTACTAGTAAACCAGGCCGAGGTTAGAACTAGCAAGATGGTGACAGCAATCATGCCTTGAGTTGGTCCATTCTGTATGCTACCCGTTTTTCGCAAGGCCCAGTGGAAAACTGGTTTGACGGCGAAGACCAAGAATAGAATCCAACCAATAGCCACGAGAAGGACCCAAAGGGCAGTTAGGCCGGAGCCGTTATTAACCAGAGCGACACAAAGCGCAAGCAAAATCCAGCCGACAACATCATTTCCAACACCAGCAGCAAGGACCGTAACACCCACAGGGGTACTGAGCATGTTGAGTTCAGACAGGATACGACACAGAACCGGGAAAGCGGTAATAGCCAAAGCGGTACCAATAAACAAGGCGTATATGCCAAAGCTGATTTCTACAGTATTTCCGTCGTTGTGGAATTGATTATATAGTCCCCAGGCGATGGCACAGCCGAAACCAAAGGGCAAAAGCATACCAGCTAGACCGACGCTTAAAGCAACTTTCCAGTTAGAAGTAAACATGCTGAGATCTACCTCAAGGCCGACAAGGAAAAGAAACAGTATGAGGCCGAGATTAGCGGCATTGTTCAAGACGGGCATTGACTCGGTAGGGAAAATGGCGTTCTTGAAGCCGGGAATGCGAGCTAGAACGGAGGGACCAAGAATGATACCGCCTATAACTTCGGCGATGACACGAGGCTGGCCACAATAGGACAGCGGGTAGTGAAGAAGACGACATAGTATGATGATAATACCAGCCTGGATGATAAACAACTGAATGGGATTCGAAGTGATATACGTATTCGGCAAGACACCTTCCAAGATACCGCCTTGGGGAGGAGGACCGGCTGTGGGAGCGGGAGGGGGAGTAGCAGCGGCCGTGACGGTTGACAGCAAGGTCGTCGTCACGTTCGCAGTTGTAGAAGCCATGATCCGGCTCGCGAAGAATTAGCTTTTTAGCCTACGCGCGCGGACCGAGATACGGAATCGGAATCGGAATCGGAATCGGAATAGGAACCGGTGAGATCAGCGAGCTGCCGAAGCAGCAAGCGATCAAGTGACAAGCAGCGCAAACAAATGATTCCCACCGCCGAAGATAGCAAAGCGTTGTTCGTGAAGAACCAAAAAGAGAAGAAAGTTTAAGATAGATATTTACTAGTAAACTACGTCCTAGACCTTAGGTAATTAGTAATTATAAAATAATAAAATAATAAAGAACTCGAGGATAAAGTTTAATTCCAAGACAAAGAGGTTGGAGAAGAAGAGGTCGGGGAGGATGATAAATACCTTAGAAGTACATACCTTACCTTACCTAAGACTTGACTACCCTACCTAAGACTAGGATGAGGTAATCATCAAGGTCTTAGACAAGGACACTGACAAGAGGAAGGAGGTGGGGGGGACCCTTGGCAGGTTGAATATCCCCCTACTTCAGTCTAGCCCCCTATAGCCCAGCCCTAGCTTGTTTACAGGTACTTACACTATGTATTGTATCTAGGTAGATTCCTGCATACCTGGTATCGTACCTACCATACGCAATCCAAGAGCTTGTGACGAAAGAATTCACCACTTTTTGACCAATTGCTTAGCGGAGAAAATGACGCTAGCACCACAAAGTTTGGGGGAACCTAAAATAAAATGACAGTTAAAGATGCGGGGGGGCAAACTTCCACTTATCAAACAATTACTATTCAATTTTACTTCGTACATGGCTAGAAATTGAAAGAAGTTACCGGGAGTCTCCAACCCCGCAGCTAATAAGAAGCCAACTAAAAAGATGATGAGAAAAAGAAGATCATGAGACAGAGACAACGACAACGAAGAACTCAACAACAACTGCCAAGTCCTTAACTTAGGTACTATTGACATAAAACCCAAGAGCCAAGGCAGAGAGACGAGTCACGTTTACATTCCTAACAAAAAGACATTAATTGCGTAGGTACCTAACCTAAGGTACCTAGGTAGGTATATCTTGACACGCAAACACGCACCCAGATTGAAAAAGGTAGGTAACCGCCGCTACGTTTTGAACTCATTTCACTACTACCACCCCTCCGGTATAAGGCGGCGGAAGTGCGTGGAATCGCGAAGTCCAGTAGGGGCGACCGCATGTACATAACTCTAACACAGGTAATTCAAAGAGGTTAACGTTTATGATCGTCACCAATCTTCCAACCTTATGTACCTAGGTAGGCAAGTTATTCGTTCCCTACTAATGTCGAACCACGTTCACGTTGGCAATTTAGTCATGCAATCCGTCAAGTAAACTAATAAGATGCAATTTACGAAAGTGCCCTTATCTAAGGTAAGCCAGAGGGGGGGAGAAGGGGGGGGAGGAGGTTCCGCAAGAAGGGTTTCTCTCGCTCTCGGGCCGCTCTTGACGACGACTTGCCATCGACGATAGTAAAGTCAAACATTAACGTCGAGGCTTGTTTCTGAGAAATGGAGGGGAGACTTCTTGCTACAAACTCTGATAGAATACGCTTAGGAAGTCTCATTCTCTACCTGTCTATCCTCCTACCTTATAAAGTCCCCCCTTTCCCTGCCTCTCATGGCAAGTCCAAAGTCTCCAGATCCAGAACAACATTAATCCAGCAAAGACAATTCACAGACCAGCTCGGAAAGTAGCGGCAGCTTTGCTTCATCCATAGGTATACTTTAGGTACGTGAATTTCCCGCCATTATTCTTCGTTCCGATAACTTGTCTCTTGTACCATAATACCTAGGTAAATATAAGGTACCTACCTAACCTACCTTATATATATACTCGCCTATTCAGCCTCTAATTTTAATTCTGTCAACAGAAAACTACATCCACTCCATCATGTTCCGTCTTCATCGAGCCGCCATCTTAGGCCTGAGCTTGTCCGCCTCAGTGCTAGGCGCTGCTCTGCCCGCAGTCCAGAACGACTGTCTGACCAATGCGGCTGTAAGTATATCCCCGATTGAGATCTCCATTATTCAACAAGGCGATGGATAGATGTGCCCGATACTTGTGTCGTTCCCAGGTACATCTCATCAAAAAATCAATTGCTAAACTCTCCTTTGTCAAAGGGCTGTGCTGTCGACACCGGCTTGAAGCTTGACGTCTCAGGGAGCTCATCTACTCCCACCGGTGGCTCCTCGCCTCTTGCGGCTAGCTGTTGGGAGAACCAGCTCCGATGCAACGAGCATTGGGAGGAGATTTGCGACAACGACACGAAATGGAAGCGTCTGATGCGGTGCGAGAGTTGCACCGAGGACTTAGTCGGCGGCGACATAGATTGCGTCCCTTATGAAAATATGCCACCCGAAGCAACCCACACTCCCGAATGCGTAGCAGGCGCTTTGCGCTGCCAAGGTACCTACCTTGATCTATGCGGTGCGGATCACTCTTGGGAGCGTATAGAGAAGTGCGGACGATGTGTTACTGACCCTGACGGCCAAACCTTCTGTGACAACCCGGAGATAACCGATACCGCAGGTGGTAAATTTGCGATGGCAACGGCTGCTCCAGGCCTACCACTTCTAGCTAGGTCTGCCCCAACTTTTTCAGCTCTAGGAGATGCGTCAGATGCAACCCCCGTACCATCATCGCACACTCCCCGTGGGCATGAAGTCGACACGGATAAGACCAAACCGTGCACTGTTGGTACAGTGCGCTGCACCGGAGACCGCGTCCAAGGTTGCACTGGGGAGCAAAAGTGGCACGACTTTGGCCCTTGCCCTGACTGCGAACAGCTTGACGACAATCGTGTCGACTGCAAGTGGAAAAATTTGTTAACACAGTACAAGGATCCTATGGTTTCCCCAACTGGCTCGACTTAGGGCTGTAAGATAGGTCCACAGCAGTGTACCCGTGGCAACACGATCGTCGAATCTCGCACCTATGACGGTAAGTTGGCTCCTGCGGAAGCGTGTTCGGCTGAGAAGACGTGTGCCTGGGGGTCTGTTAGGGGATGGCATCTTGTTTTGCGAAGGACATTGCCGAGTTGGAATTAATTTGCACGGAGGCACTGGTTTGGATTTGAATCCTGGCTTGGGGTGTAAGGGGGAGTTGGCAGGTAATGGCTATCGTTTAATTAGTAGCTACCTAGTAATAGAGTCAGTCGTATTGTATCGTTAATGCATATTGATGCCTCTTATGTCTTCATCTCACGATGACTATTGGACTTTACTGGTACGTAGGTACATAGACAATCACCGCGACCAAGATTGTCTAATCACTTTGGCGTGCTGCATGTTTGAAGACAATATATTACCTAGGTATATACTGTATATCCCATCCCAGATATATAAGCTGGCGTAGCGACACTGGAGCGTCTGTTTTCGCTCCCAAGATGATTCGGGAGACAGCTTCATTCCTCCATTCCTGTCTTCCTTTTATTCTTTTATAATTTTTTTTTTCCTTCTTCAAATTAGGCATTGGTGCCGATCAAGCTCTTCGCTTATATCCGTAAAACATCGCGCTTTGCTTTAACTATATTTGACATAACTACTAAATATCAACAAGAATTTGTGTATCCGAGATTGGTCAAGGTCACTTCACTTATTTTGCAAGCTTTCTGGAGGACCGCATTAACTCTCAAGGGGGGGAGGGGGAGTTTATTTCAAAACGGCTTTCCCTTGTAATCCTTAGGAGCCAAAATGACGTTGTAGTTGAGCTCGAGCTTCGCCTTGTCGTCTCCTTCCAGAGGCATAAAGTTAACTACCAAATCATCCTTGACTGCGAAGACGGTGTCGGACGAGAGCCAGGGGTCGTCCTTGGGGTATAGTTGCGTTGTGCAGCCCTTATACTCAGGGTGCGTGACCTGAGAGAAGTATACATGTTAGTAACGGGAGATAGGATAATGCTTTAGAAGAAATCGAAACGAAATTAAAAAAAAAAAAAAAACAAAAAAAAAACATACCATAATATGGATGTGTGCCGGACGCATCGGGTGTCGATCCATCATCTGGAGGAGTTGGTACGAGGGGCCGTCGGTGGGCAGGGAGTAAGCCGTGGGGTAGTAGCAGTAGAACCAGTATTTGCCGTTCTCGTCGGCGCGGAACTTGCCGCGCAGGTTGTTCGGGGTCTGGTTCTGGGGGTCCTGGAAGTCGTACTTCCCGTTGGCCGAGGCCTGCCAGATGTCGAACACGGCGCCGGGGATCGGCTTGCCCGTCACGAGGTCGCTGATGACACCGTGCATCAGGACGACCCGGCCGTCCGGCGCCGCGTCCTGGATGATAGTGTCGCCGTTCTCGCGGAAGGGCGCGTTGGGCGACCAGAATGGCCCGAGAATAGCGGAGGATGTCGGGTCGAGGTCCGTGTCGGAGATGATCTTGTGGGCAATTTCATCAACCAATCTAAATGACGGCTACACGTCAGTTCACGGTAGGAATAAATTTGACTTCGATTACAAGCTTAATTAGCAATACGTACGTTTCGAGTCCAAGAATATCGGACACCCGATGGGCCTCATTCCTTGTCTGCTTCGACTCGGAGTAAACCCGGCCGACTTCGTTGATAAAGCGGACGCCGGCTAACCATTCGTCAATCGTAAGCTCGGTTTCTCGAGCAAAGTCGTGGATGTGTCGGATTAGCGACGACAACAGAACACGGTTCCTCTCGGTTGTCTTGGGGCCCATGGTATCAATGACATGTTGAGTGAACGAAGGGTCAAACCGGGAAGGTTTGGGAGCTTGTGCCGCATTGGACACACCAGTAGCTTCAGAGGCCATCTTGAGAGTTTTCCTGATTGAGGTGACTACGAAAGAAGGGCAAAGCTACCTGATGTAAGTGGGAATGCTATACGGAATTGGTAGTATAATTATATATCGGATGGAAATGGATGAGAGGGGAAAAACGAGTTTTGGTATATACGGTACTGAAGTCAGAATAAGGTCTAGATATATTTACACAAGACTAGTGCGAGAAACCTAGCATTATTGGGTGAAAGCCATGAGCAGAACCTCGTTTATTTAAGCTTTTGCCTTCACTTGCTTCATTGTTATGAGCAATGAATCTTCTGTGATAGGTTGGTCCCTTGAAGACTCGAAAACCCCGCTGTCCCGCCGTCTTTCAAAAAGGAAAAAAGAAGGGGTCCTCCCTATATGTGGATCGGATTGAGTTCGCGGCAGCCCGTATGAAACCTCCTTGTCCATCGGGGGATATATCGCCCTTAGGAAGGTAAAATTGAGTGCGCTTCTGGAACTCCAACGCCAGCTCGAATCGCGTGCGGTCCAGGGTTTTATGGAAAAATGTAGCTGCATACATCAAAAGACCGCTACCTAATGTCAGGGACAGTAGTTCCTCTCGTTACCCCCACTAAAGGTTGTTTTTTTCGCCAGAGACAAATATTCTTGGTGATGTCACATGCTTGGTGTTAGTGTTGAAGTTGAGCACAAACTAGCTTTACTGAGCCCGACTAAGCTTGGCTGAGAAGCGGTGTCCTTTCTACTTCGAAGGTGAACTACCTAGGTAAGGTATATGGGTTGACTTAGATTGGAGGCTTAGCAGTGTAGTACGACTAACTCGAGCCGCGAGATAGCGGGGAAATCTGACGATGAGGCGTTTATCCGGCATTGCAGCATACCAGATAGGTAAATGCAGATTCAGCATGTATGTTGTATGTGGCCATCCGCTCGGTAGCTATTGAATTAACCCGTCTGCCGTGGGCATTTACCGCCCCTGATGCCGATCATGTGAAAGAAAAACGTGGTTTACCTTGCACAAACTTATAAGATTCTTCCCCACATCGAGGTGCCATACCTACATGCCATACCGGCCATGCTAGCCATGCCGGCCATACCTAGATGAGTAATGGTGGGCAATGGTGGGCAATGGTGGGCGGTGATGTATGGGAAAAAAGAAGTTCGCATGAGTTAAAGAGGGGCGATACACATACTACTACCAGGTATGTATCGCTAATAAGTCGATGCGGGGATAACCAGAGAGTTACTCGTCACACATTAAGGTATAGAGAAAGCTACCGGTCGTGCGTGTATAGTTGTTGGATAACTCTGAACCCTATTCAAGTTCAAGTCTTCGTTAACGGAAAACTACCTGCGTTAATTTTTTTAACTAATTTTTCTTTTCTTTTTATCCCAGTTGAATGAGCGAAACTTCGAATTGGTCTTTTCTGCTCGAGTAATTGGCCCCTCTCAACGGGAAGGTTGAAGGATGCCGGTTCATCACTTGATGATAGGAACATGGACCCCACCGGGAGCCATCTTTACTGTGGCATTTGACGATGAGAAATTGACATTGGAGCTGGTGAAAAGAACTGAGATTCCTCATGACGAACCCATCTCGTGGATGACTTTCGATGTAAGTCAATTGACCTGAGTTTATATCCACGAATGAGCTCAAAGTCGGGTTTAGAAAGTCGGGTTTAGCATTAGCTCGGCTCATCGCAAACAATTTCCCCTATATACTCACGAATTTTGTTGTGTTAGCACGCCAAGAAGAATATATATGGCGCCGCCATGAAAAAATGGTCAAGCTTTTCCGTCAAGAGTCCAACCGAAATTGTCCACGAGGCCTCGCATTCAATGAACCACGACCGTAAGTTTTTTTTGCATAGGCCTTGTCAGCCAACCTAGCCGGTGATTGACCCCTAACCTTGAGCACGTAGCTCAAGCAAGCCTCGACACAACCAATACTCGCGCCATCTTTCTGCTCGCCGCAAAACAGCCTCCCTATGCTGTTTACTGCAATCCTTTCTACTTGCACGCCGGTCATGGCTCCGTCTTTTCTGTATCATCCAGTGGCGCTCTCAAAAGGGACATACAACACTACCCATATCAACCCGATACGGGTATCCACGGTATGGTGTTCGACCCGACGGAAACCTATCTATACTCGGCCGACTTAAAAGCGAACAAGCTGTGGGTACACAAGAAAGCGCCGTCGGGCCATGTTGATCTTGTGGGAAGTGTTGATGCGCCGGACGCAAAGGATCATCCACGCTGGGTAGCGATGCATCCGACGGGCAACTACTTATACGCTCTGATGGAAGCTGGAAATCGACTTTGCGAATACGTTATCGATCCGGCAACGCACATGCCCGTGTATACGCACCATTCGTATCCTTTAATACCACCAGGGATACCTAAGCACGATACTATGTACCGCAGCGACGTTTGCGCCCTTACCAAGTCGGGCAACTATCTATTCGCGACGAGTCGAGCCAATAGTTTCGACCTGCAGGGCTACATTGCGGCGTTCCGTCTACGGGATTGCGGGTCAATTGAGAGGCAAATCTGCTTAAACCCTACGCCTACGAGCGGCGGCCATAGCAATGCGGTGGCACCATGCGATTGGAGCGATGAGTGGTTGGCGATTACAGACGACCAAGAGGGATGGATTGAGATTTATAGGTGGAAAGCTGAGTTCCTGGGCCGTGTCGCAAGATGTCGGATTCCGGAGCCAGGTTTTGGAATGAACGCCATATGGTATGACTAGGTTATGCGTATAAAATATCTACCTATTACGTTGAACGATATGTATAGTTTACCTACATCGTGAGTGAGGATCGTGAAGATCTGGAAGATCGGGTTTGATAGAAATAAAATATTAACTAACAACAAGGTACCTAGGTACCTGACAACCCCGTGGCGGCTTGGCCCATAAAATACTACCTAAGGCAGGTGCATGACAGGTCTTTGGTATTGTATAATCCGTAATACCTAACCTTTAACACCTTACCTTACATAGGGGATTACCTAGCTAAAGCCAGTCAAGGGTAGCTGCAGGCTGCAGCTCACCTTTCTATCTACCTACCCACTACCTCATGTAAAGGTAAGGATCAGACGAAGGTCGTTCCCGTGTTAGCCGTGCCAATACTACTAATTGCGACCGGATATTCTTTCCCCCCACATAAGCTTGTCTTATCGAGGTTACTCTCATCATCAATTGGTCTAAGCTTCGTCATCGGGGCTCAGATTCCAATTTCCTATCCATTCAATACAAACCCGTCGCGGTGCAACCCATTTTTCTTCCATCTTTTTTTTTTTTCGTCTTTTTCTTCTTCTTCTTCGTTAATTACCTAATTCACCGTTACGAGCCCCCCATGGATTGGATGGTCCTTTGACCGTAGTCGTCACCTAGGTAAATCTTTACCCTTTCATTGACCTTCCAAGACGGGCGAATCCAATTAGGATTATCAACTTTCTTGTTCGGTCGACGCGACGTACGAGATCAGTCGGAACATCCACCCGTCTCAAAAGTCAACATTTTCTATCCCTAATATCTTATCAATCGATTCTCCCTTTCGGCGAGAATAACCGCAAGAATGGGGAACGACGGCATCCTTCGCGCTCGTACGATTATCCTTAGCTTAGTTAGAGCTATCTTCCTTTCGGTCGGCTTAACGTTTGCGATTCCAACGAATTACCATACTCTTGAACATGCTCCCGAAGAAACCGAAGAAGGCTCCCTTTGGGTGCTTTATGTGGCATCCATGATCCTTGTGCTTTCAGGGGGTGCTTTTGCTGGTTTGACGATAGCACTCATGGGTCAGGATGAGATCTACCTCCAAGTAATATCCTTAGATCCTGAGGAGCCTCAACGAAAGAACGCGAGACGCGTCTATGATCTTTTAAAGAAAGGCAAGCATTGGGTCTTGGTAACGTTATTATTGTCTAATGTTATTGTCAATGAAACCCTCCCTGTTGTGCTAGATAGATGCTTTGGCGGTGGTGTTGCGGCTGTCGTTGGAAGTACTATCCTAATCGGTATGAATTTTCAACCCTATCTCTATGCGCTTCGCAACCTTGCTAACTAATTTTTAATTTTACGCGCCGTAGTGATCTTTGGTGAGATCTTACCGCAGTCCGTCTGTGTTCGCTACGGTCTACAGATTGGCGGATATATGTCTAAACCCGTGCTCCTAATGATGTACCTTCTCGCTCCCGTCGCATGGCCAACGGCGAAGCTTCTTGACTGGCTACTAGGCGAAGATCATGGAACCGTATACAAGAAGAGTGGGTTGAAGACGTTAGTCACGCTTCACAAATCTCTAGGTGAAGTTGATGAACGTCTAAATCAGGACGAAGTTACCATCATTAGTGCTGTTCTAGATCTAAAGCGCAAACCTGTAGAGGAAGTTATGACGCCAATGGAAGATGTATTTACTATGTCTGAGGATACCGTGTTAGACGAAAAGACTATCGATCAAATTCTCGATGCCGGCTATTCTCGAATCCCCATCCATCAAACTGGAAACCCAACAAACTTTGTTGGTATGCTTCTGGTCAAAATCCTCATTACTTATGATCCCGAGGACTGTAAACGAGTCAAAGACTTCGCTCTTGCAGCTCTTCCCGAGACCCGACCTGAGACTAGCTGTCTTGATATAATCAACTTTTTCCAGGAAGGAAAATCTCACATGGTACTTATATCGGAGTCTCCAGGTGATGACCATGGCGCTCTAGGTGTGGTAACACTTGAAGACGTTATAGAGGAGCTTATTGGAGAGTAAGTAATTTTCACATAGGCTTTATTGATATCCTGTCACTCGCTGATCATTCAAAATAGGGAAATTATCGACGAGTCGGATGTATATGTTGATGTGCATAAAGCTATCCGTAGATCTCATCCCGCCCCCAAAGCTCGAGCTTTGCGGAGGGAACTTATGGCTAAGGACCTTGAGATCAGGAATAACACGCTCATCGACATAGAGGAAGATAGACAAGGGCCTCAGGCTAAACGGGGTACGTCAGTTAGCAGCAGGACAGACGCTTCTGCTCTCGGTTCGAGTCCAAAGATGACAACCTTACTGATGCGACGACGTTCGGCTGGCCAAGATGGACAACTAATTCACACCATGGTACCAGTTAAAGCCAACTTCGAAGAAATGAGGGATCATCTAAAACATCTCGGCCCGTCTAATCCTGCGTCGAATCCTAAGAGCACGAGAGTCTCAGCAGTTAAAATCAAGCCCGGCTCAGCAGCGGCTTTGGGCGCTCAGCAGCATTCAAGTTCCATTACGGCGGACGATGTTGCAGAAGATCTAGTCACGGTTGTAGATGAACGCACAAGTCTACTAGGATCTCAACCGAAAGCAAAGGATGGCATACAAGCTCTCCAGCAGAGTTACACCAAATCACCTTCGAACCACCCAACCGAGATTGTAACCAGTTTCGAAGGCGAGAGTTCCGAGCAGGTGACTAAAGGTACACAGACCAAGCTCAGCGTTGTACCTGAGAGTGATACCTCGCCCACACAAGAATCCACGACAGAAAGTATAGATAGTGCCCATGACCTCATCGGACGAAGAAGGCGTCACGTGCGTAGCGGCAGCATTACCGAAAATATAGTCGAATCCGGCGGTATCCGCAAAGTCATTCTTGAGGCTAACGATACATCGTCAGGCGACGATGGACACATAGCAATAATACCTATACCCTCCGATGAAGATGGAACGTCTTCGACCGCTACTCCAGCCACGAAAAACAATAAGGGGAAAAAGAAAAACCGTCGTAAGAATAGGAATGGAGGAAAGTAAGAAGCATTATTCCAGCGTGGGGAAATACGACCAAATATTATTCCAGTATGACAGCGATCGTGCAGCATTGCATGATGGTATAATTGTCTACCTAGGTAGGGTAAGACTATCTGTAGAGCATATATTGGTTTAGTTTTAAGACCAAAATTTCAGGAATCAGGTCCCTATAGCATCTACCCTTCAGCCTAGGTAGTCTGTGTAATAGCATCTCGGACTGTTAGTTAGCATCAACTATGTAACATTATTGCAATAAATCGTAATCTATAAAAAAAAATGAGTTCCGTAAGTCGAAGAGACGCCTAATATTGCTGTTACTTGAGTAATGGTATAGAGTTTAAAAAGAGCCTCGGACCTAAGTACATGCGTTACATGTGTTACCTGATCGCAACCGCATACACATATACACATGAAGCGATTGACAGAAAATTCTTAATTATCTCTATCCAAGATTTTGAAACTGGTTCTCCAAAGCCGGCAGCCGGCGAGCTCCGTGACACCCCCCGCCGATAAACACTCCGCAGTTTGACTTGGTAAGGGTACTCGCCGGGGCTTTAAACGCGATTTCCGCCCTTGAGGTAAATGTTAGGTACCTACTTGTCCCAAGAACAAATAGATAATATTCTCGGCTTCTTCAAGAGATATCACGAAAATGTCATCTAATAAAGCGGCTACCCGGTTTGTGATACCAACGGTTGATATATCACCGTTTCTTGAAGACCCAGCGTCAGCGGCGGCCGCTAAAGTCGTTGAGGATGTACGACAGGCATGTGTCACAAGCGGTTGTAAGTCGTCACCATGGCCTTTTGCTTATGCTAATATATTAAAAAACCTGTTTACTTAACGTCTAGTTACACCAAACTGAAGACTCCTGAAGCAAGTTAATAACCCCTAGGTGTTTTTAGTCTTCCAGGTTGTGAATCACAACGTGCCCAAGGAGCTAAGAGATGCTGTGTTCAAGGCAGCAGAAACGTTTTTCGCCCTACCGCTGGAAGAGAAGAGGAAACTACAACATCCAGTTCTGAAAAATAGGGGCTATGAAACCATAGGCTCACAGGTCAGTAGCTAAGATCAGAATCGCTTTGTTTCTTTGGCCCCAGATAGAAGAAGACTTTTCCATGCAAGTACCGAGTAGTATTAATAATGTTTGAATCCGGGTGGGAATAGGCTTTGCAGGAAGATACCCTTCCGGACCTTAAGGAGGTAAGACGCTCGAAACATATGTTACATTAGGTACCTACCTACCTATGTATCGCCCCGATCAGCCTCTGTCCCATACTCTGATAGGAGATATATACTAACTGGCTACTTCACGTGGGCGCACAGGGATTCTTCGTCGGGCAGCACATAGAGGCCGACGATCCTCGATCACAAGCGCACCCATATCTCATTGGACCGAACATCTTCCCAGCAGGACTCCCTGACGAGGCCCTGAAGGTTCCTACAGAAAGGTATTATTCTGCAGTCTTCGAGCTGTCGTGTAAAGTTATGGAGATACTTGCCCGAGGCTTACCCTATGGCAACGACATCTTTGTACCGTTCATCTCAAACGATCCAGTCTGTATCATCCGGCTATTACACTACCCGCCGCAGGACTCGACGGACGAGCGTCAGCTCGGAGCCGGAGCACATACGGATTTTGGTAAGTTCTTCGCCTTCGGATTATGTTTTCGTACTTAAGATAAAAAAGAAGAACTAACTCTTTTATTTACTTGTCTGCATTTGCTAGGCGCAATCACATTACTGCTGCAAGATTCCTCGGGTGGACTCGAGGTGCTAGACCATTCTACCAATACGTGGGTTGGCGTAGACCCCAACCCAGATGCCTACGTGGTCAACATTGGCGACATGCTATCGTTGTGGACTAAGAATGTGTACAAAAGTACGGTACACCGCGTTGTCAACCGGAGTGGCAAGGACCGGTATTCGGTACCGTTCTTCTTCGACGGCAATACCGACGTCGAGCTAAGGCCGTTTGATGGGAGCGCGCCTACAGTTGTTGGCGCGGATGGCAAGGCGTTGACCGCTGAAGGACATATGCTAGAAAGGTACGGGACTACGTATGGACGAGTGGTGAAGAAAGCTACGGGTGTTTCTTAAGAATGAAAATTGATATATGATTGAGAAGATTGAGAGTCAAGAAAGGGGTAAAAATATTAAAAATGACAATATAGAAAATGATAACAATATGTACCTAACGTAGTATGCAATTACGGGTTATTGGCGAAGACGTGAACATATTAATTTTAATGGATTACGTAATATACACTCGTGCACAATAAATTTGGAGTTTGCGAGGATAAGGGCCTTGCTAATGCATGTATTGCACAATACAAATTAGGTCCCGTTGCCCATCGACCCGCCGCAAAATTCTTTTTCCAACTCCCTCTTCCACACCCGCACGGGCAGCTGATTTGATCCTTTCAAACTCGAAACTTTTTCCCGTCTCAGGACCGAGGATTAAAAAAGTCTGGGTTAAAAAAAAAAAAAGAGACACGTCGGCTATTCAAGTTCTTCCTCCTCCGCTTCTGGGCAAACCCGGAACTCGTCGATCTATTTTCCATCCCCATTTTATTGGAATTCGTTGCTGGTACGTCTGATTCGATTTTCAACAATTTGCCTTTTTTTGTTTTTTTTTTCTCTTTTTCCCTTTACAACTCTCTTCTGATTTGCATTTCGACATGGGAGTTGGTCTATCCTGCTACGCCCTTGCTGGCGTTGCCATACACCATGTCAATGGCTTTACATAGGCTTAAATGGTCTTGAGTTACATCTCAAGACGTATATTTCCCATACTGTTGTTCATCATTCACGACTTGCTGCTGTCGCTATGTACTTCTAACGTTTCCTCTATTCGCAGGTAACGAAGCAATATAGATTACTAAATTACGCGACTCTATCTTCCACCGTGTGCATCATTGTTATTCTCAGCAGCGAATAAAAAGGCAACATCCTGTTTATTACAGTCGCGTCAATTTTCGCCCGAGTCCGTGTCTAGCACAAGTAGTACTGCATTGTGAAGCATCGCGTTGTTATCCGTCTCGTAGACTCCAACACGTCTTAAGGGAAGACTGGTCACGATGCCCGACATAGATCCCATGCTCGAAGACCCAAAGCCCGAAGTTCGGGACGAAACTGTTGGCATACAAGAATATCCAGTGCCCACAACAAATGGTCAAGATAGTACGGCAGTTTATAACGAATCAACTTCGGACCACCAACATGCACAACCTGAAAACGGTGATCCCTCGACTCCTCGCCAACAGGATGTCCGTCCGTCTATTACAAGTGCCGAAGAGTTGCAACTCGCTGCTCAGCTTAGCCAAGGTCTCAGCCAAGGCATGTCCACATTACCTCTCGATCCTAACGAAGACCCGAACCTTCGAAATGTAATAGCTCAGCCCGATGTTCACGACCCTCAACTTCAGCAGCAGGATGGTCAAATGCACCATGACCAGATACCGGAACATGAGAACCACATAGAGAACCACATAGAGAATCATATCCACGAGCAGCACAATGATCAATTGACCCATGGTGATCACCCTATGGACACCCACGATCCTTCTATTCCCCATGGCGACCAGCCCTTACAAGACCAACAGCCCCAACATGAATATCTACCGCAACAGCACCCACAGGAACACCACCAGATACACTTAGCACCACAACAGCCTCACCCGCATCAACATCCCCCTCACATACAACCCCAGAGCACGATGGAGCAGTTAGCCCAGCACTACGCTGCTCAGGCCTCGGCTATACCGGACGGCATACCTCCAAGAAAACGGTCCAAAGTGTCTCGGGCTTGTGATGAATGCCGCAGAAAAAAGGTGAAGTGTGATGCTGTTTCAGAAAATGGTGACGAACCTTGTTCGAACTGCCGCCGTTCAGCAATTCGTTGTCTTTTCAGCAGAATCCCGCAGAAGCGTGGTCCTAGCAAAGGCTATATCAAGGAGCTAGCAGATCGCATACATCACATCGAAGGTAAATTAGCGAGCGAAGGGGGCAATGTGGATAGCCTGAGTGAGCTTTTGAACGGTGCTAGAAGAGATTCGGCTGATATCTTCGGCACACCTGGACATTCGGAAGAGAATAGTCGTAAAAGGCCGTATTCAAATATGTCTGGCGGCGAATTAGCAACGCCCATGATCTCACGACAGGGAACGTGGAGTTCAGAACCACGACCGATCCAGCCTTACCAGACCCCCTCGGGGAATTTCAGGGCACCCCCATATTCTGCTAACAGATTGGCACCCCAACCTTTGCCCAAGCCTGATGCAGGTACACCTTCCCGTCTAGGGGCTGTCATAGACACAGTGCCACTTGATCTCGACCACAATGGTGCAACCCGTGAACTAGACGAGGGTGCGTTTAATGGCTATCTCAATGTAGTTCATTCGTGCTTTCCTTTGCTTGCAGCAAGTAAAGCTCGTGTTGAGAGCCAATTAGCGCAGTGTCCACCTCTTCTCCGGGACGCCTTCGTTGAGGCACTTTATGGTACTATGCAGTCTTGTGTTTCGATCCCTGGCCTGTATACTAATGTCGACATTGGCTCTGGTACACGGATGATAACGGAGTGGGAATCTGACCCGACTCCGCGTACGCCAGTCATGAATCTGATTCATCTTCAAACACTCATACTGACGGTCCTTGCAACTGATAACTACGGTCCCCCGTCACTGAAAGGTGAGCATGGAGGCCCGTCCAAGGCTTCGGTTTTGGGACGCGCCGTAGGTCTAGCCTATTCGATGAGGCTTCATCTTTTGGGTCTAGAGACAAGCGTTGATGCTCCTCTAGAACCTGATTCAGATGAAAATATCGCAACTCGAGCTTGGTGGACATTAGTCATGTTGGACCGCTGGAATGCTATCGGGACCGCAAGTCCGTTGTTTATACCGCACGAGAGTGTAGTTATTCTGCCTAGTCTGCAGTCGGTTCTAGGCGAAAACGTGTATCACTTAGCACGTGAGTATATCGAATATATTGCAGAGGTCATGGCTAACAATAATAGGGTTGTCGAACATTCTTGGCCACATCGCACCAGTCGCTTTGGCTTCCCCCAAGGTACTGTCTCCTGAGTCAGGTGCAGCACCCATCTTGAGTTCTTTCATCAACCTTTCGATGGAGCTCTTCCGGGAGATTCTGCCTCAAGGCATTACACCCTCTTCGCATCCTGTATTACATATGGTTTACTATCATTGTAGGTTACTTGCGTATCTCTTTCAGACCAACGCAACATCATCCGATATCCTGTGGCCGTGCAAGGAGACGGTGGGCCTCTTACTTACCAATACACAACTCCTGACGCCGTTGAACCATCATTTCTTCTGCCTCACGGCGCTATCTCTCCTCGAGCTAGTCAAGGTCGAAGAAACTCACGACGAAGCCACATCGCTCCTAAGGCAGCTTCTGGATTCAAACCTTGCTCCGTCGACATGGGATGCGGTTATACGTGACCGTATAGCGGAGCAAATTCGGCCTTCTACTGCCCAGGCCGCAGCAAACCAAAGCTTACAGCACCTTGCGGATTTGGCTACGGCAACAGAATCCGAAGCTCCTAAGCCGGAGAAGGGTTCGGATTCCGCGTCTCTCAGGACAAGCGATAATTATAATAACGTTGGATTTGACCCCCGGGTACTGACTCGAGGTGGCTACTTAAATGTTTTGACTGAAACTCAGCCATTTATGATGCGATAGTATAGCATCTGTCCTATTACGTCGCCCGGAACTATAAGTCGATACGTACCAATAGGAGTAAGGTGGTTTCGCTCTCCGAGATATCCAATGGCAAACCGCTTGACACAATCTCCACTTCCCGATACATACCTAGGTACCTAACCTTTCTTGCCTCTTCCCAGGTATCAACGCAAGGTATAGCCATAGAATAATTTTAATCGATAATTCTTTCCAGGTATGGGCTGTTTGCCAGATGGTCCATGTTTTTGGCATTCAAGGAATAGACGGCGAGCAAGGTCTACTGTTTCAATAAGGAAAGTCGCCATTCTTAATTTAAAAGAAAGTCGAACATTCCTCGTTTCTCAAACCTCGGTATGGTGCTATAAACTCGATGCAATCGGTGGTATCGGCTCAGAGGTGGAGTTGCTTCATCCAGCCTCATAAAAAAAGGCCAGGCGGGTTACATTAGTGATTCATATTAATGACAACCACGATAAATATGTTACGTTCAGGGACCGGTCGTGATAGGATCACGCGTAGTTGACATGCTGCGCCGCTTTGCTGCTTGCTTGCTCGTTTAGAGGTTGCCATTAAAATGGCAGGGGTGCAATTGTGAAAGTAGTATTAATGTGGTTTTGCCAGTGTTGAGTGTTCGTATAAGAGGAACCGAGAGATTGGTCGTCGAAAGTAGGTAGTAGGTTGAATATCTGCCTAAAGGTATTCCTTTAAGAGGTAGCCACATCAGAACCGTAAAGAAGTATTGTCATAAAGCTACCCTGCTTCGAAGCTTTCAAGAGTTGCATGCACCAAGCACACTGTGCATATACGACGAGCCAATCATGTTATACCATATACCCAAAACGGCAAGTAGCCGTAATCTCATCTCAAAGTCTACTGTAACGAAAACTTGATATATTCTTCGATCTGAGATCTTACGAACTGCTGCTGCTGCTGCTAGTAGTAGTGCTACGTACAGCAGAGATCGATTGTACGTTGATGCCGGGAACTGAAAACTGACATACGCATGCTTCATAGCATTTTTCGCACTGGGTTGTTTACTACATGCTACGAATCAAGAATACTAAAATAAGGAGTGTTTAACTATTAGCTTCGGTTTTTTTGTTTTGCTATTGACGCTATTGATGCATCTTCCCCTGACCGTCCGATATTCCCTAGGCTTACGGACCCGAGAAGCCCATGATTATCACCATCACTTATCGAATACCGCAGTTTTTTAGTTTTTTTTTGTTTTTTTTTTGTTTTTTTTTGATCGGCTCATTCAATTCAGCGGGCGTCTACACTACCGTCTCTTGGCATTTGGAGATAAATAGCAACGTTCCGGCTCCGCCCAGCGCATTCCGAGTGTCCCCAAAATAAGTAAAACGTTGTAACTATTTCGATTCAGGCACATATATATATCCCTATATATATTATGTATATCGTATATACATACTAGGTAGGTGGTATGAGAGGTAGCACCTGCCAGGTAAGTAACATGCCGCTGTGTTTCTGGCGATATCTTCAGTGTAAAGAGGTTTACTCATCAGAGCCGAACTATAATATGTTCGTACCCACCATTCTTGATTGAAGAAGTAGTACTACTAGCCCTTCGAAGTGAGACTTCCCCATCAGATAGACTCTCGTCTATCTATGTTGATGAATTAACACCTACCTAACCAACTGTAAAACAAGAAAAAAGGGGGGCCGAGGGGGGAGAGGGGGGGCTTTTCTTTTCTGTAGTGGAACGGCTTGGGCCAGCCACCGTGAAGAAGTTTGGCTATTTCTGCCGAGCAGCACGCGAAGTGGAGTTTTTCGCTCTTTTTAGTCGTCCTATTGTAGCGTCCTCTATTGATTACCTCTATTGGTATGGTGATGCCACGTGGAGCTTTGGAGAGAGAGAGAGAGAGATAGAAGTGAAAGAAAAAGAGAGAAAAAAGTGCAATTTCTCTCCTAATCGTCAACGTTGGAGAAGGTGATATCGTTGCATACGTGAGTTATAGCATAAAAGCTTGAACTCGGGAATTCGAGATAAGCGAGAGTAAATGCGGAGCGAGTAAGAACCTGGAGTTATGGAGTATGGAGTATGGAGTATTTATTTGTTGGAGATCTAAAGGACACATATATTACCCGCATGGCTCGATGAATATACCTACCTAATTATGTAGGTATCTATCGTAGCGTTTCGGTGGTTGAGTTAGGCAGGTAATGTCTCTCCTGACTGTATTTTCGATATAAACTTGCATCTCGTATAGGACCAACAAACCATTTTATCCCCCCCCATTTGCCTAAACGTGGCTTCAGCGTTTGCCGATCTCTCTCTGTCGGCAGCGAGTTTGCGAGAATAAGACAGCGAATCAACGCCAAGCCCTCACTCCATCATCCGACTTCTCACGAATCAGGATGGTACCATCATGTCGTCACTGGTGAGGTCTTTTCTTCCCGATCGCTTTCTCAGAAAAATACATATTTTCGTTTCGTTCGAGTTCTTTCCTCTCTCTCTCTTTTTACCTTTGTGTTCCATACATAAATTCCCAGTGATTCCCCCCTCCCTCTTCGGCCACCTTTTTTTACGTGTATGTTTTTCTTGTGTATTCTCTTGGTTCGTCTTGGAAGCCTGTCGCGTGTCCCACCACGCTACGCCTAACCATAGGTCATAGGCTGGTTTCTTCTTACCGACTCCAGAATAGGACGGCATAAATGGGAGGCTTAGAAAATATAATAAAAAAAAACGGGAGAGAAACGACCCCCCCATCCCTTAAATTACTCTTTCAAACCACCGATGGTGCGCCGAGGCCGTATCGATTTGGCATGTCCGCATCCATGCAGCAAGTATTTCTCGAGTGCCCTTTTCCTTTTTAAACAAGAAACATGGCCTTCGAAAACCCGGCGTGGACCCGCTTCGCTCCATCGCTTCATTCGGAAGCTCGCGACATCGGCTGCAGGAACAAGAAATCTCCTCGGAGTGACGAGGCGCGCTACTGTAAAGCCGACGTCTCTAAAAACCAACATAGTGGATTTCACTATCTGTATACCGCGAACCGCGCCTATCCTTTATGCTGAGTCGTCAATTCATCACCCTAGTCATTCTTGGTTTCCTTGGCTTTGGAAAACCTTGAGGGAAAAACCCCCAACCTCTGTGGAGCCTCTTCGTCGCCTCTACTAGAGGAATTATGCATGACCCCCGATTCAGTCGCAAGCTGTCAGCTGATCGGCACATGGGCATGTGTCCAGAGATGTCAGGGTGTTATAATAACAGCGTGTTATAACAACGATAACAATAGCTATATCTGAATAATATACCCAAAGAGGCAAGTATATACCGTATCAAGGTGAAAAGACAACGCAAGAAGACTCGTGAGATTATCCTGCAGCGAGCGACTCCGATTCGTCTTGCCTTTTCTAACCGATGTACCCAAGATACCCTTTTTAGGGCCTCCTCTACTTCTAATCTATGTGTAGCAACAAGGTAGATAATATTTTTTTTGGCTGTGAAACAGGCCGCCTTCTCACACACTCTCAGCCCGTTAAGGGTCTGGATCTAAATATTTAGGGGGGAAATGATAAACATATGCTGTTGGAGGTAATATGTACGACTGGAAAGAGGTTTCATATGCGCGAGCCGCTCTCGTATGAGACAGAAGATACCAAAACAAAATTCAAGAACAATATCCAAAAGAACGCCTCCCGAGAATCCGGTAGTGTCATAGTTCTGCCACCCGGAGAACAGAAAAATGCCAGACCTCCCCTTCCGCCGATAAAAGGTTTTCGCAAATCCGCGCCATTGTCCGTTTGATGAAGGCGATGATCAGAATGAACTGATTCGACAGCAGAAAAAAAAAAGGAATAAAAAAAATAAAAGAATTTCACAGCGCAAAACTAGATTCCCTAAGGGGTATACGATGGATGTAACAAGAGCTCAAGTTCTTGTCATAAAGCGCGTGGTATCATGATTGAAGAAAATGCAGCGCGAGAAATCAAAACGCTGATAGTTCCGCATTTATCGGAGCCTGCCGGTATGTATATTATCACCGGGCATATGCCCCCTTCGTAGTCACACATACGTGCCGATGTGGTGGCGAACTGGTCTAAGCAGTATCCCACAAGCCGGAGGCTACAGGATCCGGCGAGTGTGTGATACCGTCGGTGAAATTGTTCATACCCCAGATAGACTCGTCTTCCATCAGAGGGAAGACGGAGCTGCCGTCGTCAAACGAGGACTGGTTGGAGAGCAGCTTACTTGCGGCAGTCGTGTTCTTGAACTGGGTAAAGTCAAGATTACTGAGGTCGTTATCGGTAAGTATGTTCTGTGACATAGCCAGATAGCTACTCGTCCCGCTGTTGCCGTAGCCGTCGAACTGCGGCTCGCTGAACGCCGAGGCCAAATCTTCCGTCTCGGAGACATCGCCCGAATTCGAGGTTAGAGTCGGCTCCGTAGAGCCACCGAAATCGAGCCCCATGTACGATTGCGTTTGGTCGAAACTCGAGGGTGTGAAGCTTTCACCTTTCAGCTCTAAGCCGTCATATTGCGCCCAATCGACCGACGCCGCGCTAAGACCGGCGCTGAACATGGGTGGTTCGTAATCGGAAACACCCGAGAAAAGGTCGAACGAGGAAGAGTACTCGGAGTAACGGATGTTGGAAAGGTCCAACGGCGGCAATTGCCCATTGAGATGCTGGAACGACGAATTTCCATCCATCGAAGGCGACGCTTGAGCGGACTTCGCCATCCGCGCCCCTCGATCAGGTGACGAAGAGCCGGCGGTTCGGGATCGATCGGCGGATTTAGTACCAAGACTGCTCGAGCTGCCGGTCCTGTGCATCGACGAGCCGCGATTTATGGTATACGGACCACTCTTCTGCGAGGCCTTCGTATGCCTCGCCGGAGGTTTATGGTGACCATTCTCGTCAAAACTCAGGATAGGTTCCGAGTGCGCCGTATTCGTGCGCCGTCGCCGGGGGGTAGCCCTGGGCTTTGCCGGCTGAACATCTGCTTCCGCTTCTGAATCGGACTCTGGGACGGTGTCGAGAGCGGGCTCTTTCTTGTGCGAACAGGTGCATCGTCCTCCATGGTTACAACAACAGCTGTCTGGACCGGCAAATGGACTTCAAGGTCAGACTCGTAGGTCTTTTACATATATAATAGGAACCATTTTGTAGGGCTTCTTTAGATGGGGGGATGCCTCACCCTTGTGTCCTTCAACTGTCTGCTTTAAATGGGCGCATTTATGCGTCTTCTCGCCGCAGTCGCATTTGACATGAGATGACCGCGACTTGCGCATCGCGCGGCAATGCTGGCATTGCGACACGGGTCGGCCCTTTTTGTTGATATGCTGGAGCGGTCGATCTAGACAAGTTGCGACCACGTGTAAGTAACATATTTCCAATTATAGTAAATTTAGTAATAGATAGTTCGTATAACGGGAAACAAGCGAAGAGAAAAAAGAAAAAATGTCCGAGCCGAGTTTTATCTCTGCTCTCTATCTTTTGTCTGCCCCTAAAAAGCTAACGATTGACTTATATGTGCTGCCCCCGCGGGGGTCCTTGTAAATGGACTCGATAGACGGGGGGGAAGGATGAAATGTAATGACTGGGAATGCAGCAATAATTGCGCTCGCTACTTACCTGCATGTTGGCAATTGCTAACCCGGTGTCCTCTAACGCAGGCTTCGCAAGCCCATTTCTCGCCGTCAATCAACATTGTGCGGGCTTAATCAAGGCTGTAACGAGTTGAAGAGACCGGAGAGCTGCTCGGGTTTGCGAACGGGTCGACACTCAATAAACTCAAAACTAAATTCGGGCGGACTCAAGGAGCGGTGGGCGCTCAGTGAGTGATGGCAAGCAAAATCGAGGCTGCCCACTAGAAACCGACTGGGAAAGTGCTGGGAACGTGGGTGTTCAAGGGGCCAACAAAGGCCCGAGAGTAGCGACTTGGTAATGGTAGCTAATAAGCTTAGTAGGTTGCGTTGCAGTGAACCGGGGCGGCGCTGCGACGGGGGGTAACTGAGTAGGTAAGGTTATTGTGAAGTGTGAAGCGAATCCCTCATGCACGCATCTCCAAGGGTAGCTGTTTGTGTGTGATGTAAGTAGAACAGGTAGGGGGGTAGATATGATGTGAGTGTAAGACGGGCCAACAACTTCGGAAGAAGTATCCAAGTGTTCGTCTGTAAGTTGTCCGTAAGTGTCTGTTTCTGTGTAGGTGTGTGTATATATGTGTGTGTATACAACAGCTTAGGTGATATTGGTGCCGTCCGGAATAAAGCGAATAAGTATGAACGGTATGAATGGGAACTATTGTTTAAGACCGAGGCTGAACCGGAGTAAGAGACCGCTTTTGCGACTATGAAAAGAAAGCAGGAAGAAAGAAGCTCCTGTCTACCTAGGTAAGAAAGAATATGGTGGATTGAGTGGAGATTTTTCTTCGCTTGGAAAATTCTGTTTTTTAGTTGAGGCGATTGCGGTTTGAGAACTCTTGTCTCTTGTCTTTTTTTTATTCCCCGTTAAGGAGCCGCACAAAAAAAGGTCAATTAAGTTTCAATGAATTATTTTTTTCTGCGCGCGGTGATCAGCCGTCGGCACCAACACCAAGGGCTAGCTAGAACTGCACAGTGCAGCGCGAACGCTTCTCGGCGGTGCTATGCGGCTAATAGAGTCTGACCGGGAAAAGGCCCTGCCTCAGATGGGGACTATCGGAAATGGGTTTTGACTGACGTGGGTGTAAGTCGTTTTTTTTTTTCTTGGACAAGAACCTCCAGGCGCCAGTACAGTAGCTTACCTATCAGCTGCTGAGTTAAACCTGGACTGGTCCAAGACTCTAAGTTGAATTCGTGGTTTTCACGACAAGTTGAAGTATATCCGTATAGTTCTATATATATACCGTAGTATGATATCAGAAACGGCGCGGCTGTCGAGTTTGGTGTGAGTGAGAGCAAGCGAGAGTGACGGGAGCAGTCGGCTCGGGAAGGGGGAACGTGGGAGGTTTAAAGAAAAGTCTTGAGTTCAAAGGACCGGTTGGTAAGGTAACGTAGGTTAGGTACTATGGAGGTGGGCAGGCTTATCATTTACAAACCTGGTGGGATGAAGAACCGTCAAGTTCAAAATAGAAGCCCAAAGCGAGAGAGAAAAAAAAAATACTTAGTCCTTCCATAGCAAACCTAGCCGGGAATATACTTGTTGATGGATGTCATCACGGGCTAATGGCACTCCAGACATGGCTAGCAGGCTAGCAATGACGGAGTCTGTGGATTGGCTGGGGGGATTGAAAACTACTGGCCTGATTTGGCCTGATTTGGCCTGGAAACGTTTCTTAAAATCCAGATGATGAAGCACCGTAATACTCAACTAGGTAAAGGGCCAGGAAAAGGAATTACCTAGGAAAAAGAATATAATGAAATAAAAAAAGGGTGGGCACGCCAAACGAAGACTATGGTACTTAGCGCGAAACCAAGCCTACAGGTAATGTACAACATATCTACTCGCGCTTGCGGCTTTGGTAGATTGGATGTACCTAGACTGAATGTAGACTGTACGTACAAAATAGATAGAGCCAAGGTTTTCCACCCCCCAAAACAGTACCAAGAATCTCTGGGCATTACATCGGTGTTGGGAGGAACTTGCAACCCACGCCGGACCCAGACTAGCCAGCCAGTAGCGACTTGCGCTTTCTCAGCCTACCTTGCCTAAGCTTGCCTAAGCTTGCCTAAGCTTGCCTACCCCTACTTCGTTAGCTTCGATTTGGGACTGGGGGGAAACCTAGCAGTTTAGCACTTGGATGACCGCCAAGGGCGGGATCACTTACAGGACTATGACAGGGGCTTCCATGCCGCGACGATGGGAATAGAAAAACGTTTACCTAGGTAGGTACCTACCTAGTCCCAATTGTCATAACTGTCACCTACGTATTATGCAACACTATCAAGTAAGCTAAAAAGCATGTACTTAGCTAGCTATAGCTGGTTACCTACCTACCTACCTAGTTAGGTACCGGCTTGTCTTTCCTCATCTAGGAATAATGAAGAATACCTAATGAGGAATAAGGAATAGCAACGTTAAGTAACGGGCATTACGGCTGTTAAACGGTACGTTGAAAGTAAAAATATACCTTACTTATTTCAAGCTTTACTTCTTTTTCTCCCCTCTCCTTTTTTTATTTATTTATTTCTATCTCTTCTTTCCGGATACCCTCCGAATTATTATAAACCAGTAATACTCAGTTAACACCCTTCCACCGAGTTCAGATTGGATTCCTGGCAGGCGTGAGAAGCTTGGGAGGGATATTCCCTACTACGCAGCTTACCTATGCATATTATTTTAGGATCTGATTCACAGCTGCGCATCTCTTTTCTTGGCACATGAGCCTGTGCACATGCGGGTTAAACTGTGGTGTAAGTCGGTCATTGTATTCGGGAATCGCGGGTCATTCCGAAGCCTCGTTAACCTAAAAGTAACTTGGAGCGCACTTGAACGTCGGAGATTAAGTACAATAGGTACAAATTGCACCTCTTTGGTGCTATATAGGAATTGACTTACAGCCGTTCTCGACTACAACGCCCAAGAAACATTCCAGGACAGCCGCCGTCTTGGCCCTTGGCAAATCGTATCGAAGCGGTTTCTAATAAGCCGATCATCTATATTGTATACGTACGTGTCTGCGAAATATTCTTGGCGAATTGGCTATACATAGATAATAAGTCTTATTCTCGCCGATCGTGGGCGAGGTACGACTGAGCCTGGTATCTGGCGTCTTGGGAAGCGTTTGCTGAACCTTGTGATGAGACTCTAATGAGACTCTACCAACGTCAATTGGGTATCTATATTATTAAAGTCCTAAGGGCATCGATAACCTCATCTAAATAACCCGAATCCTTGCGAGCGCTCATCTAAGAAGTCCAGGGCAGAAATGCGCATCTAAGATCTTGGCTGCCAAGAATTTTGATATCAGTTAATGTTACATGTTTCTCGAGTACCTAAGGACTTGCAGGCCCGGAAACATCATGATACAACGGCAGTCCGGTCGATTCGCTGCCCGGCGTTGGTCAAGGCGAGGCGCGTGGTAAAATTGAAAGCCAAGCCAGGAACATGTTTAAAGCACTTTCCAACGGAGAATGGGTATGACCAGATGCTATTTTCCTGGTAACTCCGGACGCGAGAGGCGTAGATACCGTAAGTCTTGGATCCTACGTGTATATCATTCCCCCCTCGGCTTTCAAAGGTCAAAATCTCATGGATGGACCGGCTTTTAGAAGGGCCGTTCCGTCCTTGGTCTAGATATACCGGCATTACCTTGCTGTTAACCAGCGAAGATACTGTTAAATGTTTCGAACGATCGTCGTCTGTTACGATTTATTTGTAAAGTCCGAAGAGTAATACAAACCAGCGATTCATCTGACGGTATAGCCACGATGGATTGTGAGACTACCAAGACTGTTTGGCGCCAGCTGGTTTATGCAGGAACAGTTGAATGAATTGAACAGACCCGAAGCAACTCAACTGCCTGTAGGGGAAAGGGGGACAGAGCAGCCAACTCCCCTCCTCAACAACAATGACAACAACAACGACGACGACGACAGCAACCATCACCGTTTCAGAGGCCAAGGAAGGATTCTCTATTACTGTACAGCATATAGCAGTTGCTTGATACAGTAACACAGTAACACAGTAACATAGTAACACAGACCCTTCGATTGAGCCCTTCGTGCTTGAATTGTTATTACTTAGTAGTATTCTTATTATTATTTACTTGCCTACTTGCCTACCTGCCTACTTACACAGGTATTGTACAATACATGATACTATGTACACTATTTTATAGATCGAATAGGAACAGGCTATTAGGCGGACACCCCCCGTAGCGGGCGGACCTAAATCCTAGAGGTGCAGAATACGGAGCCTCGTCTCACACACCGTAATACTGACATCAACGAATTTCCAACCGGCCGCTGTAGGCGCCAATTCATGTAACGGGAGCCCCGGAAGAGTACAAGAATACATCACCAAATACATGAAACTAAATGCATCACCAAATAGTTACCTGAACGTCTTATGTAAGGTCTTTGCAGGTGGGATGCATTAGATGGGTCTTTCTTTTTTTTTCTTCATCATCTTTCTTTCATAGAATACCAGTTCATCTGCCCAAAATCCTTCCGTATCGTCGTACTAATTTATTGTCTTATTTAAATAAGGTACATAGTAAGTGTTATGAAAATTGTTTAAGGCCGAACACGCAATGATTAAGTCGGACTCGAGGGATTGCTGACCAAAAAAAAAGAAGAAAAAAAAGATCGGTATAAACCCAAGAGCTCGGAGCTGCCAGTAGCTTACTAGCATGTATTTACATACTTGGACGATTACTTCTTCTATACCTACCTCACAGCTACATAAGGTATAGGTATAACAGGTAGGTATACGATGAATCAAAGGGTGCCGTATGTATTTTTTAGTAACCACCTTAATTCCCTACCTTAGGTACCTAAGGTATATATAACCCGCGTCTTCATACATTGCATAGGCCTAGATCCAACGTGCATCCATTCGCATATCATATAGTAATGGGCTATACTACCTGTCTAGGTACCTAATGTGTATGTATTCAGGCACAATACGTCTGTTGAAAACGTACAGTATAGTATCTCGAGAAGTTGTACGGCCTCGTGCCTAGCCCTATTCTAATTTAAACGATTAAAAAAAAATACCTACCGAGTT